ACTTTCCCCGGATCTTCTGAGTGCAGGGATCGGCAATCCGCGCGTGGCTCTTTCATCCCTCTGCGGCGGCTCCCTCTTGCTCAAAATACGCGTCACGACCGCCAATGTGCGGCACCCGCCTGCCCGCAATTTATTGAGCTTTCCGGCCCTCGGTAGGCCGATGTGTGCAGTGTTAACTTCATTTTAGACGTCAAACCGAACAACTTAAGCCCTGGTGGGTGCAGTGGTTAGAATGCAGTGTTGCAGGCTGACTCTGCCCACTGCCAGAAGTTTGATTCTGACCAGCTGAAGGTTGGTTCCCTTCAGAAGAGAGGAAAGGAGGAGGAAAGAAGAAAGGGTAAAGGAGAGGAAGAAAGAGAGGGTAATAAGAGTAGGAGAGAGGAGAGGAAGAGGGGAATAATGGGGGAAAGAAAGAAAGGGAAGAAGAAAGGAGAGGAGGAAAGAAGAAAGGAGAGAAGAAGGGAGGGCGATAGGGTTGTTGTGAAACAAAATGGATATATGGGATGGCAGAAAAGCAAGGTTGATTATACTATTGAATTTTTAGGGGAAGAATTGAATTGTTATCAATATTAAAAGATAATAAGAATGTATATTTCTGAATGTATGTATGGGAACAAAAATAAAACACTTTAAAAAAAGAGTTTTGTGGCCTTTTCTGTGGAAAACAGATCCAAATGGCTCTTTTGGGTGTTTTAAGATTGCCGAGCCCTGTTCTGCGGCTTCGTTTTCATTCTTTGCAGGGATCTCTACAAAAACCTTGTAGGGAAAACAAGTCCTATTAGATTACAAAGAGTTACGGTTAATCCTCGGCTTACGACCCCGACGGAGCCCCCAAATGTCTGTCGCTAAGCCGGACATTTGTTAATCGAGCCTCGCTCCCTTTTCACGACGCCCCGCGCCACGCCAGTTAAGCGAGTCGCCGCTGCTGACGAGTTCGTAACCCGATCGTTCAGCGAATCCGGCTTCTCTGTTGTCAGAGGGTCACCAAAGGGGGCCCCGTGGCCTTGGGACTCTAACGGTTGTCATAAGTACGAGTCAGTTTGCCAAGCTCGCGGTTTGTGGATCACGTGGCCAGGGGGATGCTACGAAGGTCGCGAGCGTGACGGTCCTCGAGTCGCTTTTATTTCTGACGCTGTTGTAACTTTCAACGGCGCCTAAAAAGGAACCCCTGTATTCGTTCAGGTCGCTGGGAGCCGAGGGGAAAAATACCTGTGGTTTAGGATCTTGCCACATTGATTGCATTTCTCCTCTTGCCTTGCCAA